TTTTCTTCATTACCCATTCAAGCCGTCTCCAACCATTATTAGTCTCAAAGTGGGTTCCTCGTCATAGAGTATGTTGAATGTCTTTCTTTCTTTCAACCATATAACAGTATTTTCTTACATTAACTCCAAGTAAAATAAAATTCATTAATGCCAAAACTTGATTTAACTAGTATACTTCAAAGATAAGTTTGTACAAGAACTTCACTTCAAAGCCAGTCGGACAAGAAAGCTTTACTGGTGATGGATAAGTATTTGATGTTTTCACCTAAACGACACTTTTTGCGACTCATAGGCTAAGCAGCCACGTCAGAGGCCCCCAATGTTCAGGCATAGTCTTTCCTTTCTTTGAAATTCTGACCAGAAGGAGGGGAACTATTTAGTAGCACTCTCCGCCTTAACGGCTACTCTTAACCGATTAGTGGAACTGACTGTCACTCATAAACTATCTAGAAGGATTAGGAATACTCAACAAGTGGCTCGAGCCTTAAGACCTTCTCATCCACAGCCCAGCACGTTAGTCACTACGCCAGTCTAGTCTTTTGATTGGTAAGTAGTTATTCTCCAGTTTCATATACATTAAATAATGTATATATAAAGTTCACGCATAAGGAGCGTGTAAACATTAAGAATTCTGTAAGCTACTATAGCTATTGTCAAACAACAGTCATAAGGAACGTGTAACCATTAAGAATTATGTAAGCTACTATAGCTATTGTCAAACAACAGTCTCATAAGGAACGTGTAACCATTAAGAATTCTGTAAGCTACTATAGCTATTGTCAAACAACAGTCTCATAAGGAACGTGTAACCATTAAGAATTCTGTAAGCTACTATAGCTATTGTCAAACAACAGTCTCATAAGGAACGTGTAAACATTAAGAATATAGTAAGCTACTATAGCTATTGTCAAACAACAGTATCATAAGGAAAGTGTAACCATTAAGAATTATGTAAGCTACTATAGCTATTGTCAAACAACAGTCTCATAAGGAACGTGTAACCATTAAAAATTCTGTAAGCTACTATAGCTATTGTCAAACAACA